AGTCAACACACAGCTTAAGGCTATGTTTTGGAACGCTGGTGGTCTAACTGCTGACAAATTCACAGAATGGAAGACGATCATTACAAAGGAGGATGCTGATTTATATGGGATCGTCGCTGCTAAATCATCCCTCAAGGTAACCTTTTCAATTAAAAAGAAGATGGAAGAGAATGATAAATTGGAGGCTGTACAGTTAGATGTAATCCATAGGAGGTTTTATGTAATGTACAACCTCCCAATGAATAGACCAGATCTATCCTGGCTTGAAGCTCAGTGGGGATCCCAAGATGTTTTATATGGTGATATTAATGCCCTATCTACTAGATGGGATTATAACCAAACATCAGCCATTGGTAGGATTTTTGAGGATTTCATTGACTGGAACCCAGTAGAAATTATTAGAAGAGAAGACAACAGCCCAACGTTTATTTCATACCGGGGCAATACTAGCAATCCGGATGCAATTCTGACTCACACGAATTTTAAAATGACATTCACTGTTCTGTGGAACATGCACCAGGAGAATTAGGACACAAGATATTAAAAATAATAATTAGGACCCATAAGACTAGTGGACTCTCTGAACCTCGAATAGCCAAATGGAACTTGAAAAAAGCTAAATGGAAGTTATTTTCCAAGATATGTGATTTAAAGTTAAATGAACATGTAATACAAGGTAATGTTGATGTTATTAATAAGAAAATATGTGAAACAATCTTAAAATGTGCCACAGAAACTATTCCTAGAGGTTGCGTTAAGAAATATTCTCCTTTCTGGAATGCTCATCTGCAGAGATTGAAGGAGGATAGAAATTCCGCCCGAGAAATATATCAAAACAGTAGACAGGAGAGTGATAAAACACGTCTGAAAGCTACAGGAGCTTTACTAAGAAGGGAAATAATTGAGGCTAAAAGAAGCTGCTACAGACAATTTTTGGAAAAGCTAGATTTTAGGAAAGATGGAGTCCAAGCTCACCGCTTCCTTTCTATAATCAACAAGAACACAGAAACTAAGAAGAATAATCCTTTTGTTACGGCTTCCGGAAAAATTCTTACATCGGATTTGGCTATTGCCAAGTTCTTCTGTTCATATTACTCTAAGGCTAGTAATTATCATACAAGACCCATTCAGAAAGTGAATTTTAAAGAATCTACAACCTGTCTCAATGAATCAGAAACGTCGATTTTTTGTTCCCCATTCACTGCTACTGAGTTAAATTCAGCTATTGAAATGATGCCATGTAAAAAAAGCTCAGGACCAGATAATATCCTTCCTGAATTTATAAAACATCTAGGGGAGTCTGCAAGGGCTATTCTCCTGCGGTTTATGAACAAGATCTGGAGAAAAGGATTGCCAAGTGCATGGCGGAAGACTGAAATAATCCCTATCCCTAAGAAATGCAAGACTCCAAACAAACCAGAACACTGTAGACCAATCGCCCTCACTAGCATGCTCTCAAAATTGTTTGAACGACTAGTATTGTCTCGACTTGAGAATTTCATGGAAATTAAGCGAGCTATCTCTGACAAACAAGCAGGATTTAGAAAACACAGGAACACGGTGGAGCACATGGCATACCTTTCACATGAAATAAAAAATGGTTTCCACAGAAAGCAAAGTACATTGGCGATTTTTGTAGACTTTTTTATTTTTTTATTTCTTTATGACATTTACAACTGTATTACATAAATACATCAAGTAAATTTGGACATAATTGATATAATGACATGAATACACTTGCTGAGTAACTACCCAATGGTAGCACTCTAATGATATGACTACATTAGGAGATCACGGGGCCATCTTCTTTTCAGACGCCTCGGAGGGTTATCAGGAATTGAAGAGGAAGCAAGGTTAGAAACTAGAGGATTGGGATGATTCTGAAGTTTATTATGGAAGGATAGGTATCTGGATTGGGCCAGATCTGAAACATAAGGAACATTAAGATCTTTATGGATAATTTTATTAGTGACAAAGTAAGGAGCATTGAGGATTTTACGAAGGATTTTGGATTGTAAGGATTGGATGCGAGAGGAATTCGATGGTTTAGTGGAGCCCCATAGCTCAACTCCGTAAGTCCAAATAGGTCTTATTATAGTCAAGTATATAAGTCTTTTGTAATTAATGGGAAGTTTAGAGCGTTTGTCTAGTAAGTGCTGAAGTAATCGGAAACGTCGAGCAGTTTCTTGTCGTTTCAGTCTAGTATGAGGATTCCAAGTTAGTCGTTTATCCAGGTGGAGTCCTATTTGTAGACTTTAAAGCAGCATTTGATAAAGTCTGGAGAGAAATGCTGTTACTAAAAATTAGAAATATGGGTGTGGCAGGTAATATGTTCAAATGCATTTATTCTTTTTTTGCGCAGAGACATATCCGGGTAAAATATAGTGGTGTAGTTTCACCTTATAAACAGACAAGAAAAGGAGTCCCCCAGGGTGCAGTTTTAAGTCCAATTTTGTTTAACATTATGATTAATGATGTAATTGAAATACTAGAAGCTATTCCCGGAGTTCAACTTCTCTATGCAGACGACTTAGTTATCTGGGCTACTAGTAGCCACATGAAAGCTATTGAATGTTGCTTAAATAATGTTTTAATATCATTACATAAATGGACGATGGACAACCAGTTTGAGGTTAATACTCTCAAAACTCATTATCAAATCTTTACCCTCTCGACTAAAAGACAAGAAGTAGATATTATATATAATAATGAGAAGCTGACTCAGACTGATTCTGCAACATACTTGGGTATAAAATTAGACTGCAAACTTACTTGGAAGAACCATTTAGATAAATTAATTGAGCAAGGAGAAGGCAGATTAAGCTTGCTAAAAAGACTGGCAGAAATTAAATGGGGCGCTCACGAAGAATTACTAACCATGGCATACAAGTCATACATAAGACCAGTAATGGAATATGGTGGTGAGATATTATTGACTGCATCAGAAAACTCACTGCATGCCTTGGATGTGGTGCAAAACAAGGCTTTGAGACTGATTACAGGGGCTGCCAAATCCACACCAATTGCAGCACTCCAGCTACAAACGGGAATAGAACCACTTCAAACAAGGAGAGAAGTAGCAGCAATCTGCCTTACAGAGAGAATGAAAAGACTAGGTTTGAAGTACTGGGCTGCTCAAGAAACATCTGTCCAGCGCCTCAAGACGTAAAAACCACTAAGAGTAAAACTTAGAGAGCTACTGGAAAAAAAACACATAGATCTAGGCATGAGTCTGCCATTTAATAAATGCAGTGACCATCAAAGTTTTATTGCAGAGGCACGGCTAGATCTAACACAACCAGTAAGGAAACACCAAACACCTGAGTGGGAATTAAAAGCGCTTGCTTTGGAAACAATAAATAGTCGCTATTCCGAGCAGAACTGGCTCCACGTATACACTGACGGCTCCGCTCAAGCAGCTACGCGGAATGCAGGAGCAGGAGTATACTGCCAAGATTTCATGTTATCCATCCCTGCTGGTAGCCGGGGAACAAACTTTGATGGAGAAGTCAATGCCATTTCGGCAGCATTGACTGAAATAGATAAAGAACTCACCTATTCCCAACTCGTGATCTTTGTCGATTCACAAGCAGCCATACTGTCGATCTGCAATGGCCTGGACCATCCTGATGTCACTAGTGCCAGAAATCGGATTAATGACTTAATTAAAAAAGGAATCCGAGTGGCTTTCCAATGGGTTTCAAGCCATTGCGGGCTACCAGGAAACGAAAAAGCTGATGAGCTCGCACGGATCGCCTCAGAAATGCCACAAACTAATCCCCCGCTGCCCTACGAATCTGTTAAAAGGATTTTAAAATTATTTTTCAAGGAAGAGAATAAGAGTTGGCAAAAGCTACAGGCAACGGGGAAAAAATGGGAATGTTTAACAGAGGAGCCGATAAAACAAACCAAAAATAGGAAAGAATCAGTGGCAAACTTCCGCATGGCAACAGGGCACGATTACCTGCAAAGGCATTTACACAGGATTGGAGTGGTGGAAAGTCCTGTGTGCCCTCTTTGCCAACAGGACGAGATGTACGACCTGCACCTCCCAGTTTGCCCCGCTCTGTCAGATGTCCGCAGTACTTCTGATGGGATCGGAACAAATGTAAACAAACAATTCATGGCAGAGTTGTGCTGGGCTGCCAGAAGCCGAATGGCCTATTAGCCAACGGCAGAGGCGTTTAATAAAAAAAAAAAATTATTAATAGTAATTTTTGCTGAAAACATGGGTACTTCTAAGTGACTAGATAGAAAATCACATAATTTCTTTACAAAACTTGAGGTGAATCTCAAAATGTTTTCTAGTAAAACTCAACTTAATTAATATGCACTTGAATCTTTATTAAACGAGGAGGTTTATCTAAAAGTGGGATAAATGTAATACAATTATAGGGTGATAAAAAAAAATGACGGAATTCAGCCGTGTTTGTCCGCCCAATAGTCCTCTTTAAATAGTTTTAACAATGACCAACTCTACTTCCGTTTAAAGTAACTTGTGTCTAGTTTATTATGGAGCAATCTTTAATTACTTAAATCAAATTTGTTTTACGTTATCGCTTTCTATTCAACAAAAAATGTGACTGGCTTAAAAAAAACACAAATCTTAAATTTCCTACTTTTCTGCTGGAAATTGAGCCATTGTGGTTGTGAACTTTTTTTGTAGATATTGATGTCTACTAACAATCTTTTAAATATTTCCCTCTACTTACAGGACACCCTGTGTGTGTGTGTGTGTGTGTGTGTGTGTGTGTGTGTGTGTGTGTATGTGTGCTTGCGTGTGTTTGTATTTCAATGTGTGTATATATTTTTTTGTATTCATAGGAGACTTGCCGCTCATTTATTAGGGGACATTATTTCTTATTCTACAGTTTTTTATTTTATTTTTTATTTTGTTTATTGTATTCTTTTATGTTTTTAGCTAAACATTGGTTTATATAATACAAATCCCAACAAGCATTTTTTTATTTATTAATTTATTTGATGTTATTTGCTTCTAGGGAGTTGTTACCAAAGCCATGGCAGGGAGAACTGAGACAATTTCATCGATTGGTAATTATAAAGTGCTTCAGACCTGAGATGCTTAGAGAATCAATGGAGGAATTTGTAGCAGACCAATTAGGGAAAAAAATAGACGATGATTCTAGTATTCAGATCAAGATAGAGAAAATGTATATGGATTCTGATAAAAGTGTCCCACTTCTGTTTTGCCTTTCTCCCGGGAGTGATATTACCGCTGAATTACTCACATTTGCCAAAGAGGTATATACCAAATACGTTTTCATATATAATTTCGTTTTTCTGTTTGACTGTACTGACAATGAATCAGTTTGACTAATTGGACCCTGACATCAGGCCATGAACTATTACACATTATCTAATAGTACACTTACAGTTAACAATATACATACGAGTATATTTTAAATTAATTTACCAATTTTTATAGTACACATAAAACATAAAATGTAATTATATGATAAGAAAACATCTTTTATTACATATGCTTTGATTTTCGATATACAATCAGCTAATTAACGTGGTAATAATTTCTATGAGAATGGAGTAAATTACAATAATAAATTAACACTTCCTTTATTGATATTATGTATAATGTAATATTTTCAAGAAATACTCAATTTTTTCCAAGTCAAACTCAACTCTCTTCAAAACGAATTAAACCTTTCCCGAACCAAATTCAACCATTTCCATTTCAAATTCTACTTTAGATTTATTTTATCTTTTTGAGATTTTTCAATATGAAGATCGCCCATCTTAATGTTATCAAATGTATGGCTTTCAAAAATACTTCCAATTTTAAGATGCGGCTGCGAAACGATCTCATGTCACTTCCTCTTGCACAATTTCCCATCCTTACAATCCTCCTCGAAGGATGAAACGATAGGATTCACGAGACCTTTTGTGAAGCTCTTATAGCATAGAGATGTTTATAGCATAATATTAGATATTAAAAATGTTAAATATATATATATATATATATATATATATATATATATATTGAAATATTAAGGAAATTTTCATTGCAATCGAAAAAAAGATGTATTTTTCTTTACTAATATCTACTATAAAGCTATAAACATAGATGGATCTCATAAGAGCTATTAACGTAAGGCAGAAAATTGAGCAAAACATTTAAGTTTTTTTATTGCAATGAAAATTCACATTTAAGGGTTTTTACCAGTGCCGAGAACGAATATCATCTTATCCCCAAAAAATATATTTGATGGTATAATCTGTGTATAATATGTAAAATTGCTTTATTCTTATTTTCGGATGGAATCTCGACAAAATACCAAATTTTGTGCGTGTAATCCTAGTTTCGGTATCCAATCTTTCTATACCAAGCCATCAGAACACAGCGGCCTTCCTATATTTTTCACAGCCTACAATTCAAATATTCCATTCAATCCCCTCACACTAGATCTCGTACCTCCGACCTCTATCCACCTCCTCACCGAACTGCAGCGTTTGACAAATCCTTATAATTCAAGCCATCTCCTTCTAGAATACGATGCCTCCCGATATCCGACATGTACAATCAGTTTCCTCATTTAAATCTCTCCTTTTTCAGCACCTACTCCTTTCCCAACCAGAGTGATCCTGAAATGTAGATAAGAGAACTTTTTAAAGTTCTCCCAGAAATGATTTTCTTTACTTATGCTATTTTATTTTCCCTCGTTTGTATCATACATATCAGTATGCTTTTAGCGTAATTGTTTTATTTTTTATACTTTTTCCAAAATCTTAATCTTAATAAGAATTGTAAATAATTAATTTTACGTATGTAAAATTTTATTTTATTTTATTCTGTATCTGTAAATTGTCCTAAAGGGACAACACAGTCCCAGGATAATAAAAAAATATTTTCGTTTCATCCGGTTTAGAAAAAAATATAAATTTGGCATATAGCTATATTACGAGTAAAAAATTGAAACGATTAGTACTGACCTAAGGATTCCAATATTTGTTTTAAGGAGAAACGCTAGAAAAGGCTTTTTTTTTCGGAAAATCACAAAATTTGTGATAACTTCAACATGGCTCCAGTTATCCACATTTTGGCATGAATTTAGGGAACTATAATATACACAAAACGGAACAAACAAGATGCCCGCAAATAAATTAGGCTTGGAGATAAATAATAAAAACGTTTAGCGGATTCGAACCGGCGTCGCTATACACGAGGATGCTAGAACGGGCAACGCTCCAACACACTCGGCCATCACGACCTTGAATATTATTGTTATTATTATTACACTACATTCCTGAAAGAACCCGAGCCTTCTCCACTGCAGCCAACCGATCTGGACGGTTTTATGCTACCTCCCTCCATCTTCTAACACCCAACAGCTTTAAATCGTCTTCCACATCATCCAGCCACCTGATCCATGGACGCCCTCTACTTTGTTTGTCATCCCGTTTCTCATAGAGCATCCTTTTTTGGCATTCTTTCCACCTTATTCGTGCTTTTTTTATCACTGCCACAATATCGGGATTCAACGAACAGTTCACGTCACGCAGCATCATTTCTTCTTCTCCTCCACATCCCGTTCTCAGTGACTCCGTCCATATTCTTCTCAATACTTTTCTCTCCCAGAAGTTGAGCATGTTTTCTGATTTTTGGTTATGGTTCATGCCTCACACCCATACATAACCACTGGTTTAACTATGGTTTTGTAAATAAGGATTTTGATTCCTTTAGAGAGCGATCTAAATTTTAAATCTATTTGCAATGTGAAGTAGCATTTATTGTTTGTTTATTTAGGCTTTAAGGCGTAAAATCCTAGGGTCATCAACGCCTGGGTAACATTAATTTCCTGCGGCTATTCTGGCCTTTATTTCACACTCTACTTTGTTGTGATTTGTAACCAGGATTCCCTGTTACTTGAACTGGTTTACAGATCTAAAGTTGTGATTCCTGAAAGTTATTTCCTTTTTTTTCTTCTTCTATTTTTAAGAGAGGCCTTACTAAAAACAATAAAAATAAACAAGCTTCTGACAATTCATCATAATAATTGACCCTTATATCATATGAATCCGAATTAGAAAAACTGTTTATTTTAACATTGTCGTGAACATAGCATTTCTGAAGTAATAACTCAAAAACAGCTCTACTCTTTCTGAAACACATCACAAACAGGATTTAATTTGTTATTAGTAATAAGATAATATATCTATATCATAATTTGAAACCAAATAATTACTACATTTTATTTTCAGCACTTGGAAGAGAATAAACTTATTACAATCTCACACATAAGTGGTACATCGTTTGATCTTATTCGTGATGCGATGGGCACTGGTGACTGGGTATTTTTACAGGTATTTAACATTCATTTCTTATGTTTTTAAATGAAATTCCTTGTTTATATTAACTGAGAGGTACAACCACTGCTACTACTCCATTAAATATTTCTTTTTTACATATCGGACACCCTATTTATACAGTATGTATTATATATATATATATTAGGGTATCTCATATTGTTTTTCTTCTTTTTTATGCGAAGAGGAAAGATTTTAAAAGAGACTTTGTCACCAACGAAACTTACTTTGAAAGATCTTTAAGGCGACTGAAATCGATGTAATAAATCGGCAATAGATAAGGCTTGCATGTTTATAAACAGCCGGCTAGAAGCCATACATAACATGGCCCGGGAAAAAAAAAATATGGAACATCCTAATATAAGTAGCACTTAAATAAGTAATTTAATATTTTCAAGTACATTCGTACTTCTCTAAAAGTAATATTGTTCGATACTGTTGAATACTATTCTCGATCCTCAAAGTCTGATAAAACTTCTTTTAGAATTCCATTCCTCGCCCTGATGGAAATACAATGACAATATATGATAAAATACTATTATAAAATATAAAATAAAAATTGACCGCAAATTCGCTTCGCAAAGCTACAGGAGTCTGTTGATTCCAAAGTGAACAACGATGTGTATAAAACAAAAAGCTAGTTATACGACCATGAGACAAAATTAGTTTTTCAAAATTTGCGAATATAGAGGAGTGATATCTCGGAAACTATGCAACTACGAACTATGAAAGATAGTTATAAAATTAATATCATGAATATTGTTGCAGGATGAAGCTAGATTATACTTAGCTATTTGTAGTAATTTTCCGAATACTAAATTTCTACATTATATATCTGATCTAAGATAAATACCAACAGTTTTAATAGCCCACCTCATACAAATCTACTATTTTAGTTAGCTAAAAAAAAAAAAAATTAATTGTGACAAGCTTAAAATGTTTCATGGGGTTAGTCAACCTTGACCTGTTTCTTTAATATTTTACTTTGATCGTCAATGCATTACCAAATCAATCCTAACTCACTAGCGTATCCAGTCGGGCGGCGCACACCCCACCCCCTGGAAGCTGGAAAAAAAATCCAAAAATACCTATTTAAAGAAAAGAGAAATACAGGAAAAATTCATCCTCATAGATGAATTTTCTAATCTAATATAAAAAAAAATTATTATCGTGACTAGTACTAGTGATTTCTGCCAGGAAGCGCGCTCTTCCATCTCACTTTCGGTCGGCCAACTTTTCTTTTTCCACCCGGCTCCATTCTCAGCAGTTTTTTTGGGATTGAGGTTTTCAGTCGCAGTTTGTTCCTATCAACTCCGGACCAAGTCTCGTAGGTGATATACATGATGCAGGAAAATTTATTTTAAAAAAAAATGAACTTTATTTATTATTTCTACGGGGTTGAGCTATGGGGCTCCACCAAGCCTTCAAATTCCTCTCGCATACAGTCTTTGCAATCCAAAATCCTTCGTAAAATCCTCAATGCTCCTTACTTTGTTACAAATAAAATTATCCATAATGACCTTAATGTTCCTTATGTATCAGATTTGGCCCAATCCAGATATCTGTCCTTCCATAATAAACTTCATAACCATCCCAACCCTCTTGTCTCTAACCTTGCTTCCTATTCGATTCCTGATAACCCTCCGAGGCGTCTGAAAAGAAGATGGCCACGTGATCTTCTAATATAGACATACTATTAGAGTGCTACCAATGGGTAGTTTCTCAACATGTGTTCCATGTCTTTATACCAATGTGCAAATTTACTAGATGTATTTTTTTGTATACAGTTGTAAATGTCATTTAAATTAAATAAAAAAAAAAAAAAAAAAAAAAAAAAATTTATTATTTCGAACAACATTTTATTCGATCCCTACAGAAAATATGGGTTTTTCCATGGACCCAGTTTTTATTCAGTTACAATAGATCTGGACACATTGCAACCTCCATCAACTATAGTTTCCTTGAAGAATCCATGCGATTTATAAAACTGGTCACGATAATAATTTGTATATTTCTCATTAGGAAATGTTGTTCTTTTCTTAAAATAACTACCGTTGAGAAGGTTTTCATGAAGGAAGTTACTAATAATATTAGGTATCCGATTTAATTGGAATCGGAAATTAGTCTGAGTTTTTTTTTTCTTAGAGATCTCATTTCCAAGCTGTGGGGCCATGTATAGTAATCTTTCTCAGATGTCGGTAAAAATTACCGTTCATTGAACGTGGTTATCGGCCATATCACTCAAAGTATTAAGTTTAGGTACTCGTTCGATGCATAATTTGATGTTCGTTAATTTCTTAAGGAATACGTTTTTCGCTTTGATTCCCTGTTTAGTAGTAATACATTAAAAAAAAAAATAAGGTCAGATAAATCTGGATTTTTTGGCTATAAAAAGTTTTATCTTGGTGACCCGTGTTAGAAATTTAGTTTTATACATGTCTAAACCCATACCCAGAGTGTCTCGTAAGCAGAGAGAAATATTTCAAGGAGTTATAGCAGAACTCAATAAATACAAAAAAGTTTATATAAATAATGGTTCGATTTTCAGAAGGAAAATATGAAATTTGGAATTCTAGAATTAGGGAAATTTTGTGATTTTATATGTATGTCACGGTTTATGTTGAATAGGAAGTGATGGCAAAAAAACTATTTAATTTAAGTAATTAAAGATAGCTTCACTGTAAACTAGACAAAATACTTTAAATTTTGTGGTTACTTTAACTTTAAAGTTAAGTTACTTTAAAGATGAATAGTGGTGGGGGAACTGGTATGGGTGGAGAAAGCATCTGGTACTGAGGTGCGCCCCCTTCCCTTTTGAGGAAATCCCTGGATCCGCCCTTGTCCTAATTTATTACTTATATTACAATAATAATTTCATGAAGTGGATATCAATTAATCATGCACGTTATGTTTATTTTTCTGTTTCTTTAGAATGTTCACCTCATGAAGCTCAGATCATTCACCGCCGTGGCTCAATCAATTGTCTCAACAAAGCCTGAAACGATAAAGGATTCCTTTAGATTTTGGATTTCATCTGAAGAAACTCCAGCATTCCCGAGATTTATAGCTCGCATGGCTTCAAAAATGTGTGTTCACAGTTTCTCCGGGATGAAAGTAAGTATATTATCATAATTTCATAAAATTTAGATTAAAATATATAGGATTCATTTATTAACTACCTACTCTTATGATAAAATTATTTACTCATCATGGTTTCATAAGTTTGAAGGGATAGTTCAGTTATAATTTTATGATTTATTATCCAAGACCAAAAAAAATCTTATCAATAATAAAAATGATAAGATTTAGGATAAGATAAATGATAATAAAAATATATATGATAAAAAAAATATTAATAAAATAAATAATAAAATAAATCAATAAATAAAAAAAATAAAATAAAAAAATAAAAAATAAAATAAAAAAATAAAAATAAAATAAAATAAAAATATTTATGATAAGATAAATGATAATAAAAATATTATCATTTATTTTTGTCTTCTTTTTTGACTGACCACCATAACTATTCTTCTCTTCATTATCCACGACAGTCAACCATTTACCAATTATGAAAAAAAGTCATCTATTTATGATCACTAAATCGTAGCTTCTGACTGATTGTTGGGTTCAAGTATCATAATTTGTCGACCCATCGGGTACCATATACTTGTTAATTAACATTCTTTTATAGGAAGTGGAGAATGTATCAATATTTTATTAAGTATTATCTTTGCTACTTTCACTACATACTTGATTCACAAGTTGGCCTGTATGGATAGAAAAACATAAATTCTTATGATTCATTATGAAACTATTTTTTTTTCCTCTCCCCTTCCTCGCCTTTTAGGCTCTACGTGGGTTTTCTCGGACCAGGGAGTGAGGGTGGGTACCAAGTTTAAAGACCCCCCTTAGTACAGGAACGCAAACTCTTCATAATTTATGACTTCAGTTATCACGTCCTGTGCACACAAGCGTTAGCCCGCTTGGTCACCCCGCCCCTAATTTTGGGAACTAAATAATGGTCAATCAATATCGCACTAGAAGGCACGGAGCTTAAGATGGACGGGCATTTAGCTCGGAGCCATGAATGCCTCAATACAAGGCAAAATACTAAGTGGAAGGCCAAAAATCAGATGGATAGATCGAATCAACTGATTTAAGATGCAATAGAGCCACATGTAGATAACTGGAAAGAAATACGCCAAGATGCCTATCTAAGAGATGAAGTAGGCTGGTTAAGGCAAGTAGATCTACAAGGTTTGTAATGCAAAAAAAAAATGTTATGATTAATGAACTATATGAAATATTCTACCATTTACAACCAGAACAGGCTCAGTAAATCAAATAGTTAAGGAGTCACAAATTTTCAAATTTTAGACAATTTTATTTTCCATTTAAATTATTTTTCATGTTTCATCATGATATGTAACTGTCTTTTATAATGCAATATAGCACCGGTGCCTTTCTGGACGTAGCGCAAACTTTCAACCGGGTGTAGCACGATGGCTTGCTTTTCAAACTCAAAATCCACTAACCCCAATCCTTATATTTAATTCTAAGATTGCCTTTCCTCAGAACTCTCCAACCATGATCCAATAGAAGCTGGTGTTCCACAAGGCAACGTCTTGTGTCCAGTTCTCTACACTGTTGACATCTCTTCAAATCCCAATACCTTCGTAGCAACATTTGCTGATGATACCGCAGTCCTTTCTTCCCACGCAGAACCTTAAATGGCACCATTAAACCTACAAAGTCACCATTCCCTAATTGAACAGTGGTGCAAGGATTGGCCTATTGAAATAAATGAATCAAAGTGTAAGCATATCATTTTCACACCCCGACGTAAATCCTGTCATCCAATATTTTTTATCTCTGTATCTCTTCCCTTCTCAGACACAGTCCGGTACCTGGGCTTCCTTCTAGACAAGAGACTGACATAGACCCCTTATGCCAGACTCAAAAGACAAGAGGAAAACCGACGATATGGGCAATTATATAGACTACTGAACAGAAACTCACATCTCTCAATTGAAAACAAACTACTAGTCTATAAGACCATGCTAAAACCCATCTGGACGTATGTACTTGAACAGTGGGGGGCAACTAAATCTTCGAACATAAAACGTATCCAATCCTTTTAACCCAAAGCCCTTCGAACAATAGTGAATTATCCGTACTAGGTCACAAACAAAACCTTACATCATGTTCTCAACATCTCCTTTGTCTTCGACGTAATTCCATCCAAACTCTCAAACTTTCATCAAAAACTTATCCATCATCCTAATCCCTTAGCACAATCCTTTTTCAGCTCTAATCATCCATATAATCCTCCACGAAGGTTGAAACTGCAATGGCCCCGAGATCTTTTATAAATATTCTATTGGAGTTCTGACAGTGGTCAGCTTCTCCACTCATGTCCTGAGCGTATGTGGCTTTAGCGCTCTTACTTAGTCTCCACTAGATTTCAAACAGTGATGCGGATGGGAGAGAAGCGCTGAGATCTCCTTCAGCCCTGTCTTGACTTTCACGTGCGAGCGGCAAGGCTTGCTTGGTTCAGAGTTCCCTAGGTTGAATGTAAATATTGTAAATAGGAATGAATGTGTGTCAAGTATTTTTTTTTCTTTCCTTACTATTCTTTGAATGTACTTTTTTTTTCCTTTTTACAAGTCTTTTTTCTTGTATTTTAATGTATTTTTACTTACAAGTTTTCTTTTTCTTTTTTTTTTTTCTCAATTTATATTTTAAATAGTATATAAAATGTATGAATGTAAACTTAGAACCATAATGCTCAATGGTTTAGATTGTGGCAGATTTTATTATTTTTTTCCAATAAACAATATATATATATATATATATATATATATATATATATATATATATATATATATATATATATAAGGTGGGGTGATGGAGGGATTGGACAATTCAGTGAAAGAGGGTATTCCGTGGACCAGACCCCCCTTCGGTGCACCCTCCCTGCACATCACTATAAATTGCATGTCGTTGTGTTATTTGTAGCTATATATTAAAAAAAGGCAATGTTTCAATAAAAAAATGTGGCCGCACTGTCCCAAAATGGCCTCCAAACATGGCTGAGTGACGACTTTGACTTGAGTTAGTTTATCAGTCACTGAGGTTCAGCAGTTGGCTTAATTTCGTCATAATTGGTCTTTTGTTAAAGCTGGATAGTCAGAGTATAAAGTATAAAAAAGAAATTTAAAAATAAATGGTCTTGGCATTAAAAAATACCAGTAAAGCCAAGTTAAAAATCAAGAGTCATTTGTAATTAAACGACAAATAATAATAAGGAATAACTTCCTAAAATAAAACATCTAGAGAATACATTCATTTTTCTAAATCATTGGTTAATTTTTAATATATTTGAAATAGTTCTTTAGAAAATGCACTTAATCGGCGAAAAAGCTACACTAGCGAAGGTACCAACGAAAAAGATCGAATTGAAATGCATGACTTAGGTCATTATAGCTCACTTATATTATCAATTACTTATAGTTCTTATTATTTATAGCCATTTATACCATCCATGTATTCTACTTCTTCAAAATAATAACTCAAATAAACGTTTACTTCACTAACTCTTATAATGCAAGTTATTAAAGACATAAACATGAAATTAGCTTAACATTTTCAAGTTTTTAAAATTTCATACACTTCATTTACAATTTTAGTATGCACTTGGTGTAAATGTTGGTTAAAACTTTTTTTTCCAATATCAGTCTTCTAGTTTTGAAAAGTGATCTCCCCCTTTTCCACCAAACCTCTCCTCCTCCCTCACCCCTCCTTCAAAATGTTAAAATAATTAAAAATTGTCTTCACTGAATCATATAAGACAGGTTGTTTAAGATATAAAAAAAACAATCGCATATAATTAAACAGGAATAATAGAATATTTTTTTTCGAAAACTTGCTCCTTCATGGATAAAATGGGAAAAACGAAAAAATATAGCAGTTTTTGGGATATTCAAAAGTGATCTGGAGGGAGGCGCCGAAATCGAAAACTTTGATCTTACATTTCAGTCAAATCTCATACAAGAAAAAAAAAAGAAACCTTCCACCCCCGTTCAATACAACTTAGACCCCCCTTTTCAGAGATTACTGTTTACTGGATTATAGTGCCCCTAGTAAATAAGGAACAAGGACGAAACCCGAAACGACGAAGGACGAAATTAGCAAAATGACTCAAGTGCTTGGATATGCTGATAATGTGGCACTGATTGGACTGTCTCTCAAGGCGATCAAGGAGGCCTGTGAAAGGTTGCAAAGAGAAGCTGGAAGAATAGAGCCATCCATAAATGAGGACAAAAACAAAAATTATGGTGCTCAATAAGAAAACACCTCTAAATCCGCCTAAGTATTATGTAGTGGGACAATATGCGTTTCAACGCCTGTCCAGTTTTAAGTACCTCGGCTCCATCGTTAATGATCAGGTTGACGAAGAAGATGAAATTCAAAATCGGGTAATGGGGGCTAACAAAGCATATTTCGCCCTAAGAAGTTTCCTTCGGAGTAAACTACTAAGTAGGGGTATCAAAATTATTATATACAAAACAATCATCCGACCTGTACTGACCTATGCCAGTGCAACCTGGACCCTACGCAAAAGCCTGGCTGAAAAGATTGATAGTTTTGAAAGAAAAGTGTTGAGGCGCATCATGGGGCCACTTAGAGAGAATGGTACATGGCGTTTAAGGAAGAACAAAGAGATCTACGACTTATTCGACGATCTCCGAGTTTCTCATTTCGTGCGAATTCAACGAATAAAATGGCTGGGACATATTATCAGAATGGATGAAGGTAGAGCCGTGAGGTAATTGTTTAATGGAACCCCGGATGGAGTCAAACCACGTGGAAGACCGATGATAAGGTGAAAGGACTCCGTGGCTGTGGACTTGATGATGGTGGGAATATCCAGCAAACAGAATTCTGCTAACCGAAATGATTGGGAAAGGGCAGTTGAGAGGGCCAAGGGCAGCTTCAGGCGCCTGTCGAGCCGTTAAATAAAAAGGACGAAACCCATTCTCACCTTCTAATAATTTTTTGTGCGAAAAAGGATCATGGTTCATGTACTTTTTGTAGCTCTTGATGTCTGTTATCACTTCTTTAAAGATTTTCCTTTACTTAAAGGATACCTTGTATATATCTTATATATGGTATCACCTCATTAAATATTTTTCTTCATCAATATGATTGTTAATGAAAAAATAGGATCTTTCAAAACACACTTCTTAAAATATTTAAAATAAATTACGTTTGAAAACTTAATGTTTTGAATAAATTAGAATTAAGATGAAGCAATATATAAGTAACCGATGCTATCTTTTCAGAGCCATATGATTCGAGCATATAAATCTGTATTGACAGACCATGAAGAATTATTAAATACGAAAAGAAATAGAAACGCTCAAATTATTCGATATTTAATCTTTTCACTTTGTTATTTTCATGGATTAATTTTTGAGCGGGCTAGATTCGGAACCCTCGTTACAAATCTGCCTTATAGATTCGAAGACTTAGATTTTGATATCAGTGTAAGGCAGCTTCTTTGGTTCATAAAAGAATATGGTGATGAAATCCCACTTCAGGTAATAATGGTCTATTTAATTATATTGGATTAATAATTTAAATAACTAATTGAAGTAATTTTAACAGAAACATAAGACATACACTACTTTTGATTTTAATTGAATAAATATTTTTCAGTTGATAACTTTCTTTTTCTCCGATTTGAATTATGGTGGAAGAGTTATCGACGTTTGGGATATGGACACTGTGAGAGCATTGATTTCAGAATGTTTAGAACCAGCAGTTTTAAATAGCTTTTATAGTTATGACACAGAATCGTATTTCCATCAGGTATGTTCAACTTTTCATTGATAAATATATTAAACCTTTTCTGTATACCTATCTACAGTAAAATCATTTTAGATTTTTTTGAACACAGTAAATACAATTACAATTTCTAGTTTTATGTAGGGCACTTCACAAAATGGTTATGACAATATTTTATAATTTATGACGGTTATTTTACATTACCTGTAAATTTACAAGCCACTCTTCGACCTTACCGTGGTCAACTTGACACTTACAATTTAATGAACGATTTGTGTAAGCTATAATATTTTAAGAATAAATTAAAACATTAAGATTAGCTGAAATAATTCAGCCATTTATATTTACTCACATAAAAAATGTATGAATAATATATCTTTTAAATAAAAATAAAAATATGTAATAAATTCAATTGCTTTGTTAACATGTTTTCAAATATATCCATATGAAGAAAAACTAATCAATAAACATATTTATAAATTTATTTTTATATATAGTAGTATCATATTGTTCGTTTTACAATAATTATGTTAATTATCACTCATAATTTTTATACATAATACAAACTATCGAGATTTTTTTAGGGGACGGAGGGGGAATCCCAGCTATGTTTTAAAATGAACTATTAAATTTACGTATATACAATTCTATTCTATTTAGTCGGCGCGACTACTCGATATCGAGTCTTGGCCTCCTTTACCAGCCTCCACCAATTGTTCCTATCATGTGCAGCCGCCATCCAGCTCTTCACTCCCAACATGAACATGGCATCACCAGCCACACCGTCACTCCACCGAAGCCGAGGTCTTCCTCTACGCCTTGTTCTGTGTATTACTTCTGCAATGATTATCTTCGGAATGTCATTCTCAGCCATTCGAGCGACGTGCCCAGCCCTTCTCAATCTATCGAGCTTCATGAAATGAACCACGTCTAGTTCTTTAAACAAATCTTTGAACTCCTTGTTTGTCCGACTTCTCCATTACTGGTAAACTTTCACAGCTCCAAAGATTTTTCACAAAATCTTCCTCTCAAAGACCATTAGATACTGCTCGCGAGTTTTGGAGATAGTCCATGTTTCTGAGCCTTATAGGAGTATCGGCCGGATAATTGTTTTATACATTTTTGGATTTTTGTTCCTCTTTGTCCTCTGGTACAAGAACGGCTCCTAAAATATGGACTGAGGCCTCAATGAAAACGATTGGCACATAGCACTATTTGCTTAATTTCAGAATCCAAAATATTATCATGAGTTATGAGGGATCCGAGATGAAAAAATTCTGACAATTTTTCAACGGAGAATTTTTCGTTGGTAATGCTTTTGCCCGATCTGGGAATTTCATCAGTGACCATATATTTGGTTTTTATAGCGTTGACTTTAAGCTCCATTTTTCTTGCTGCTTCCACTAGTTCCAAGAATCCATCAGAGACTGCCTGGAAAGAGCGTCCAGCAATATCGATATCGTCTGCATAAGCAAGAAGTTGCACTGTCCGGCTGAATACTGTTCCACCCACTTGATTACCAGAGCCTCCAATTAACTTCCCTAAAGTTAAATCAAAGAGGAGACATGACAGCGCATCTCCCTGCCTTGGTCCTTTTCTGGAAGTGAATTCTGCCGATCTTGCTCCTCCAACCATGCATCTCACTTCTCTCATGGTGAGTCTTACAAGTCTAATAAGCTTTTCAGGGATTCCGAGTTCCCTAATTTCTTCATAAAGCTGTTCCCTATGAACACTATCATACTATCATACACTATCATATTCTTTAAAATCAATAAAATGATAATGTGTTTTAAGCTTATATTCACGTCTTTTTTTAAGCATGATGCGCAAGCAAAATATTTGGTCAATGGTAGATCGTTCTTTTCGAAAACCACACTGGTATTGGCCTAAGATCTTTTTTACGTAGGGGAAAAGTCCTTGAAAGAGAATGTTGGACAAATCTTAGTACGCACAAGAGAATAAGCAGATGCCTCTATAATTATCGCAGACTAGACGATCACTCTTTTTATGGATTGGGCATATTATCGATTCATTCCAAGATTCTACCATTATTTCATCAGTCTGATCCGAATCATGATATTCTAAAGGATTTTCAGTAATTCACTTCCTCCACATCTAAGTAGTTCTGCAGGCGATTCGTCAATTCCTGGAGTCTTATTATTTTTAAGTTTCGTTGGAGAATTCAAAATCTCGTCTTCATCCGCCGGTTCCATTGACTAAAATAATGGAAAATCGACAAAATTTTTGATTCTAACTTCTTCCTTGAGATCTTTGTTAATTAGCCGAGAGGAATGTCTCTACCGTTCCTCATGAACATCCATCCTGTTGGTTAGAAGCTTATCACCTTCATTTAAGCACTAGGTAGATTTGCTTCCAAAAGGTTTCGTTTATACAAAGGTATTTAAAATTCTAAAGGATCTGCTATAATATAATCAATTTTTGATATAATAATGCAATAATCGTTTATTTAATTGTTCGACAGTAGACTTATACAAATATACACTGTTAATTAATTTAAAAATATTAAATGTAATATTTATTTTTTCAGCTTCCTGTTGACTCAACATCAACTGATTACCTGAAATACATGAAATACCTGCCGACAGATATATCACCGCGTATATGTGGACTTACCGAGTGCTATGGCCTTGCTATCAAAATTAAAGAAGGGGAGGAGTGCTTAGATCAGCTTAGGTTGTTACACCCGGAGTTTCCAAAGCCACATACCCTGGACTACAAGAGTGCCGACAAACTGGGCCGGGCCATCATCGAATACTTACCGCTACTTGAACCATCATTAATAGAATTTATTGAAACGTGAGTATTTAATTTATGCTTAAAGAGGACTTTTACATAAAGTTAGGAGTGGGGTGTATACTCAAATCTCAGGACCTTCATCTTCACACCCCTCCCAATTCATAATGTAACATATTTTATTTATATTTAAGATCTCACCACATACTCCTAACTTCTATGAATGTTTTTTCAAAAATTCCAATTAGACTTTTCAACTTCTACCTTAATATAAATAGAATAACTGTATTTGTTAGTTTATCTTTTACGATGTTTCAGAATATGTTTGTCCAATTTCAAGAATTTTTATTCTTTTATATTTGTTTATCATAAAGAATATATAAATGTTTGTTTAATATCTTTATTTGTTAGTTCATCTTTTCCGATTTTTATGACTATGTTTGTCCAATTTTAAGAATTTTTATTCTTTTAGAATATATATATGTTTATACAACAAAATACTTCATCTTCACGGAGCAAATCCGATCGTCATACTTTAAAAAAAATAAAACTTTATCGTTCTATTTTTACTTTGTTATCCTTAGTTAACCCAATGAGTTCTGCGCATGCGTTAGCCCTAGTTAAACATACGTCAGGTCGTCTCTTATAAAAATCTCATTTATCAGTGGCAGTATACAAGTTTAAAGTGAACAATTAGTGTTATCAGTTACATTAACAATTACAATTTGATACTGGACAAAAAAATAAGGTGAGTAATCACTTATTTACAACACAAGAGTGAACAGTGTAAATAGACCTTAGGTTAGTTAGATAACGGCCGGCCACATACATCGTTAATCCTACTAGTGGGCTAGATCCCTCCGTCGGAGGCAGATCTGTGCTCTCCAAGAGCGCGTCTATATTTTCGTGTTCAATAAAAAAAATAAAAAAAAACTTTTTCTCGCTTCACTTTTATCAATTTTTCTTTTAAAAATTAATATGAAATGCGATATTATCACATGCTAATGTCGAGTAAGGGCAAAAACAACAGGTCCAGGAGCCTCGATACTACAATGAGTTCTCCCATTAAAAAAAAGACAAGGCATTCGAAAAGAAACACTCCAACAACCCAACAATTATGAGACAACTCAAGCTATGGGCGAAGAATCGCCGTTTTTCACTTCGAATCCATTTCAAGTGCTTTCAAATACACATAACGAACAAATGGAAGCAGCATCCACCCCCAGAGAACCCAAATTCCCACCAATATTTGTTAGAAATATTAAAAATTTTCAATTGATGTGTCATCAATTGAATAATCTTGTAGGTTCAGGAAAATATTTATGCCAAAGCCGCACCAATGACACTAAGTTAATGCCCGATACTCCAGAAACCTATAGAAAAATCATAAACTATTTATCTGACACCAAGGCTGATTACCACACGTATCAACTGCGTCAAGAGAGGGCGCTCAGGGTCGTTATCAGAAGACTGCACCCATCTACGCCAACAGATGCTATAAAAGAAGAGCTCATGGGTATGGGATTCCATGTTCGCCAGATAGTGAACACATTCAAGGAGGATAGAGAACAGCCTGGAATAAAAAATAAAATACCTCTTCCACTATTCTTCGTTGACCTTGACAGAACACCCGATGTCGAAAACATCTACAAGGTCACACGCCTTTATTATACAAGCGTTGTTGTAGAAAAGCCCAACAGCAAGCGCGAAATCGTTCAATGCCATAACTGCCAGGCTTATGGCCATACGAAACGGTATTGTCATCACATTCCTAGAAGTGTGAGGTGTGGTGAGCAACACAAAACAGAGGACTGTAGGAAGTCTAGAACTTCACCTGCAGTATGCGCTTTATGCCACCAAGGACACCCAGCCAACTACAAAGGTTGTCAAACATACAAAGATTTAAAAACACGAAGGTGCGCAACGCCTAGAGAAGAAGGGACATCCAGGCCATCAAGACAACCCTCTAGAATAGTGAACGGAAGAGTGTCCTATGCTCAGATGTTCAAAGGAGAAACTGTAAATACTCAATCTCAGGCCCTGCCACAAGAATCTAAACCTCAAGAATTCACACATCAACCTCAAGACCCATATCCCTCCATCCCCGAACGCAGGTTAAATACCCATACATTCATTCCTCCTCCTTCCAATTCCACTGACCTCACAAGCCTACTGACATCTTTCCTCTCTGAATTTAGATCCCTCATCACTCCTCTTATTTCATTACTTACCAATGTTATATCCACCCTCATTCCACTGCCAAGAAATCCATAAATGTCCTCAACCAAATTCCTCTCCATTCTCCTTTGGAATGCGAATGGTATTCGGAACCACATCAACGAACTGACAATCTTATTACATGACAAAAACATCGACATAGCACTAATAACTGAAACTCGACTAACCAACAAACGACAAATTAACGTTCCCGGTACAATATTTATCGAACTGACCATCCTGATGGAACAGCACATGGTGGCACTGCCATAATTATCCATCGATCCGTTTCCCATCATTTGTTTCCCTTACCAAGCCATAATTTCCTACAATCCACAGCCGTAATAATCCAAACACCCCTTTACACAATAACACTAGTTGTGGCATATTCCCCGCCTAAAACACCCATTTCCGAATCCCAAATAATTTCCTTCCTTAATTCCTTAGGACACCACTTCCTCCTAGGTGCAGATCTAAATGCAAAACACCAGCAATGGGGAGCCAGATTCACAAATTCCCGAGGGCGAATATTGCTATCTGCACTTAATTCCCATCGCAGCAACATCCTTTCACCTAATACACCCACATACTGGTCAACAGATCCCAAACGCAATCCCGACCTTCTAGACTTTTTCCTCCACAAAGGTCTAGGATCACTACACTGTTCTATTTCAAGGTTTGATGATCTTTCCTCAGACCATAGTCCTCTAGTCCTAACCGTTTCCACATCTCCCATTCCCAAATCATCCCCACCTTCATTTATCAGGGGGCCAGTTAACTGGAACCTTTTCCGTCAAATACTGGAAGATAATATAGACCTCAGAGCTTCCTTAAAAACACCTGAAGACCTCGACGATGCAGTGGATTCCTTCACTACCCTGATCCAGCAAGCAGCTTGGACTTCATCCTCACCTGATCGTCCCAAAAAATACCAGAACATAAATCCTTTACCTCAAGACCTACTGGACCTAATCCATAGCAAACGTTGTTCTAGGACCCTTTGGCAAAGAACCAGGCATCCTGATGACCGGAAATCGTATAATTATTATTCCAAACAGGTAAAAAAGAAACTGGATACTTTTAGAACCCAATCCTACAATTCCTACCTCTCCTCCTAGTGATAACTCCCTCTGGAATGTAACCAAAAAAATCCTTAAATTCCACTCCATTCCCCATCCACTTCGCCGTGATGATGGTTCCTGGGCTTCGTCAGATGCGAATAGGGCAGAAGAGTTTGCTAAACATCTATCCTACACATTCATCCCTCATCTCGAACTCCATCCCACCCACACTGCTGAAGTTGAAGAATTCCTCTCTTCACCAATTCCTCTCTCTCTACCTCCAAAACCTGTTAACCTCTCTGAGGTCAAATTCCTTATAAACAAATTAAAACCTCGAAAATCCCCTGGATATGATCTACTCACTTCACAAATCCTAAGGCAACTTCCCAAAAAAGCAATCATATTCCTTACCTATCTATACAACTGCATCTTTCGCACAACCAACTTTCCTTTGGTGTGGAAACATTCCATAATCATCCTGTTTCCAAACCAGGTAAACCTGTTAATAACACATCATCCTATAGACCGGTAAGCTTACTCCCGATCCTCTCAAAAATCTTTGAGAAAATCCTTCTCAAACGCACCCTACCCATAATCGAATCCCACAACATCCCTTCTCATCAGTTTGGATTCCGCTCAAGACATTCCACTGTCCAACAAGGCCTTCGTGTTGTGGACCATATATCCTCTGCACTTGAAAACAAGCATTATTGCACTGGTGTCTTTCTGGATCGGGTGTGGCACGATGGCTTGCTTTTCAAGCTCAAAACCCATTTACCCCAATCCTTATACCTAGTCCTCAAATCCTACCTCTCAAATCTTTCCTTTCATGTCCGTTGTGACACCGAATTCTCCACTTACTATACAGTTGAGGCTGGTGTTCCACAAGGCAGTGTCTTGGGCCCAGTTCTCTACATCCTCTTCACTTCCGATATCCCTTCAAATCCCGATACATTTCTAGCTATATTTGCTGATGATACTGCCATTCTATCCTCCCACACAACTGGCGCATCAAAATCAATGAATCAAAATGCAAACATATCACTTTCACCCTGCGACGCAGATCCTGTCCGCCAATCCTTTTTAATTCAATTCCACTTCCCTACTCAGACACAGTCCGTTACCTTGGCTTCATTCTTGACAAAAGACTAACTTGGAACCCACATACCAGACTTAAAAGACAAGAACTTAACCAACGATATGGCCAGCTGTATAGATTACTAAGTAGGACATCCCATCTTTCGATTGAAAATAAACTTTTAATCTACCAGACCATACTGAAACCTATCTGGACCTACGGACTTGAACTGTGGGGAACTGCTAAACATTTGAATATCAAACGCATCCAATCCTTCCAGTCCAAAGTACTTAGAACAATAGTCAATGCCTCATATTATGTCACAAACAAGACCCTACACCATGACCTTAACATCCCATTTGTCCTCGACATCATCCCATCCAGATTCTCAAACTTTCACCAGAACCTTATCCATCATCCAAATCCTCTAGCTCAATCCCTATCCAGCTCCCTTCATCCCTACAATCCTCCACGAAGGTTAAAACGGCAGTGGCCCAGAGATCTCTTGTAAATATGCTTCTGGAGTCCTGGCAATGGCCAGCTTCTCCACTCATGTCCTGAGCGTCTGTGGCTCTAGTGCCCTCTTTCAGTCTCCACTGGCTTCTAATACTAGTGATGCGGCTGGAAAAGTGGCACTGGGATCTCCTGGAGTCTTGCTTTGCCTTCCACATGTGGGGGAAAAAGCCTGGCTCGGAGATTCCTGGGCG